CGGATCGGCTTAGTATTTCCCCGATATAACTCCCTTATTCCTGCATAAAAAGATACATCGAGGCTAAGCGACGGCGTTAAAATAGCGTCTTAGCAGCGTTATTACTGTTATAAAAATCGTGGTGAAATTTCACTAACTAGGTAAGATTATCGAATGGGGCCTTAATAGTCTACACTTCCTTAACCTTTACTAAGGACTATTACCAGAGGAAGATACTTAGGATAACCTTAAGCACGTCTAGTAAATACCCCTAGCGAATATCACTATCAGAGGGGACTTTAATACCCGGTATAAGGACTAGGAACCGAGGGTTACCTAGATTACCGGTAAAGGAGATAAGATTACGGAATAGATATACCTTTACGGGCTAATACTCTATAATATACCTAGGGAGGTTACTTATAGTAGAGGCGGAACCTATACCGTTATTAACTTAGTATTTTCCTTAGTACCCCTTATAAAGATCGGCGTAGTATTAGAGGCCGGAGCCCCGGCCTACTATTACCCCCTATCGGGGATAATAGGCACCGCGTATATCGTCCTGGCGAATACCTCTACTAGGCCTAACCACTTTAAGCTCCCTAAGGATAAAGAGAAGAAGGCCGCGATATGGAGAGAGGTAGCTAATAACCTTCGACTCCTTATATAACCCCCGAATAAGGACCTAAACGTAATCGACTAGTAAGCGTAGTAGCTAATCGATATTATAGTAAGGCCCCCTTTGCCGGTTCGGGATAAGGTGCTAAGGACTAGCTAGTAATAGAAAGCCTTAGTAAAACGACGAATATAGACTAGCCTATAATAACGCCGTTCGCCGTAGATATTAAAGACCCCGATAACACCGAGGCACGCGACGCCTTTTATAAGACTATATAATAGGTTAGTAGTGACTACTAGAATAAGAGGATCGAAGAGGTAAAGAGCGCGGAAGAGCTATATAAGACTATAGGGTAGTATAAGCTTAGGGATAGACTCTTAATGCCCCCGATTTTCTATAACGGTTAAGGGTATTTTAAGGACGCCTAAAAGGGCGAGCTACTACGAAGAATAAAGGTTTCGAGGAAGCCGAATATACCGGATATAAAGGACCCCTGGAATTACCCGGTAGAACCCCCTAGCCGGCGTATACTAATAAACTCGCTTATCCTAAGGGATAAGGCTAGACACTACACGATTAACATTAACACGATAGCGCCGGGTAAAGATAATATTAGTATACCGCTCCTACTATAACTAGTATAGCCAGAGGTTAAAGAAGAAGTCACGGAACTCTTCGAAGCCTATAAGCTTATAGAATACTACCCGTGACCCTTTAGATAAGGGGATATAGTAATAATCGATAAACTAGGGAAAGATACCGGAACTATGGCTAGCTATAGGCCTATCTAACTGCTTAGCGTGCTAGGTAAAGGCCTAGAACGTATTATAGTAAGGAGGACGGCTTATAGAGCTATAATCGTCGGTATACTTAACCCCTGGTATATCGGAGCCCTGCCGGGAAGGTCGATAATCGACCTCGCGGTAGTCCTTATATATAAGGTTAAGTTATGGCTAGTAAAAGGGAAGCCGGTTATTACTATAACTAACGATATAAAGGGAGCGTTTAATTCCGTCCTGTATAGATAGTTTATATACAGGCTTCGAAAACAGGGGTAGAACCTAGCTACGGTAAAGTAGTAGGAAACCTTTATCTTTTAGAGAAGCGTTTATATAGTTCTCGGGGCTTCCTGCCCTTATAAGTAGGGAGCGTATAAATAGCAGGCACCTTTGGATATACAGCAGGCAAAATATGTATATATAGAGGCAAGTTCCTTTATATATAAACTGCCTACTAATACCGGGGTCTCGCCTACGCAGGTATAAGTAGTGATATTTTATACGTAGCTCTTAATTCGTAATAATAGCCTAATTACGTTATACCTCCCTCTACCTTACCTACTTACCTTACTTACCTTACTACCTATTAACCTCCCTTCTATTAACGCCTTTATTAACGCCGCCGTTTTAACGATGGATACGGATCCTGATAAACGCCCTTATAGCCCCCCTCCCCCCTCGGACCTAGTTTTTATATCTAGGTAAGAGGTAGATACGGTAATCCGTTCTTACGCCTTCTCCTATGGATATAGCCTTATTATTACCGAATAGTATCCTTATAGGGGTGAAGCCGTGCGTGTAATATATCGTTACGGGAAGGGCAGAGCCTTATAGCCCGTTAACGTCTCTAATACCTATAAAAGTAAGCGCTGTAAAATAAGCTCCTAGATAACTAACTACCCCTTCCGCATATCGATTAAGGGAAAAGATAGGCGGTGGGTTATCTAGCCTATTAATAGTAGTTAATCCTTTACTTATAACCATGGCTTCCTTACGGCTTCCTTCTTTTTATCTTTTCGAATATCCTAGATTATAACATGTAAGGATAAGATTATTACTATATAGAATAGCGGTATTCGGCCTTATTAGATTATAATAAAGCTCTAAATCCTAAAGTAGGAGAAGCGGAGCTACTCTAGGAGATCTTTTATTAAGATATCCTTAACTTACTCGCTTAATACCGGCGTGAAGAACTCGCTGGCCGTACTCCTATCTAGTAGCTTTACGAGGTAAGTATACACTCCCTTTATATCTAATTACCTACTAACTACTACTACTTTATAGTAATTAGATAACGGTACTAAGTACTTCTACCGCGATCTTAAGGATAACCTAGACCGAGTAAAGTATCTATTTATTACGCCTGAGTCTATTAGAGAGCTACTCCGAGAGTCTCCCGATATAATACTATTTAACTATACCTATAAGACTAATCGGTTTAATATACCTTTACTTAGTATTTACGGTATCTCGCCTTTACGTAAAGCGTTCTAGGTTACCTACGTCTTTCTTAACGGCGAGAAAGAGGCTTAATACTCGTAGGCGTTTAACTATTTAGTTAAATACTTTAGAGAAGGACTCCCTTTCCCGCGTTACTTTATTTCCGACCGGGAATTAGCTTTAATAAATACCCTAGATAGCCACTAAAAGCTAGAGCTTCTTCTCTATATTCTATACCTTTAGCATATTAATATAAACGTGCTTACTAAGTATAAGCAGTATTTTCCTAAGCTAATAAAGGTTAATAATAAGATTAAGCGCTACCCGACCTTTACTGCTTTTCTTGAGGATTAGAACTCTTTAGTTATAAGTAGTTCGGAGGATATATTTATAAAATAACTCCAGGACTTTTAACGTGATAGTAAGCACCTAGCCCCTATAATTAACTACTATATAAAAACCTAGATTAAACTATTTAAGGAAAAGATTATTCGTTACTAGGTAAATCGTAACCCTTACTTTAGTAACTCCACGACTTCTATTACTAAGGCGTTATATACCAGCCTTAAGTTATTCCTCTATAACTCCTCTAACGACCTAGCGATAGTTTTCCGTAAGTTATGCCTTTACTAGGATACCTAGAGGCGAGAGCTTCTAATTAAGAGGTCTCTAAGAATAAATAAGGTATAGTTTTCTATAAGAGGAGTTCTCTTTAGCCTTATTAGGTAAAAGATCGTGCCCTAAGCTCTGTAAAAGATCTAGCTCGAGATAGTAACTATAACTAAGGAAGCTAAGGGTAAGCTACTAGTTTAACTAAAAAAGCTATACGAACCCTATACTATCTTACGCTATTTAGGCCTGCCTTATCGCTATATACTACTTATTAGCTATCTACGTAGTAAGGAGCCGTTAACCCTTAATTTAATTAATCGTCTCTAGTAGTAGAATTATAGGGAGACGATTACGGCGACGCCTAGATCTAAGGTAATTAGTCCCTTTAATCCGGTGATTATACGTGTAAAAGAATACTTAAAAGGTATAGTTACGATATCCGGTTTAAGTTTTAAAAAGGGCTATAGTAAGACTAGTATAAAAAAGGCCCTATCTAGCTTTAAGATAGCGGTAGCCGAAGAGCGCCGCGAGGCACTCCTACTACCTTTAACGGCGCCTATAGCTCTATTAACGATAACGTTTAAGGGTACAGTGGCCCCACACTAATTTCGAGTCAAAACCCACATTTTCACCCTCAACGCGTTCAAACACGTTATTCCTACTATAATCCTCTATCTTCAAACAGCCGTAACAATACTAGTTTAATAGCCATAGACCCCTAAATAGTATTATTCGCCGTATAAACGAACGAGGATTATATCCTTAGTCGAAATAGGGCTAACGTATCGCGAGGTCGCGCGCAGGATAGGCGTATCTCTAGGGTCTATCAATAGGATATATAAGCGATACTAAGAGTAGAAATTAACTAGGTCACTCCCACGGCCTAGCCGGCTACGCTGCCTTACTAATCGCGATATAAGATACCTCTTTCGATTTATTAGGTAAAACCCTTTTATTTTGTGTAGGGAACTTAAGGCCTAGGCGCGCCTTACCTATTCCATAGAGATAATTAAGAGGGAGCTTATCCGTAGAGGTATCTAGTATTACCGCGCGCTTTAACGACTAGAACTAATAGAAGAGCACGCGAAAGAGAGGCTTGTTTTTACTAGAGTATACGCAGGTAAAGGCCTTAATTTCTGGAAACGCGTTATCTTCTCTGATAAGAGTATTATCGGGCGTGGGCAGGGTATAAGGCAGAGTTAGGTTTTCTACGGAAAAGTAGGCTATTATCCCGGCTTTAGAACTTTATACTAACGTTTTACTAGGGCGAATATTTACTCCCCTAGAACGTATAGCCACGGCTTAAGCTAATAAGACACTCCTAGATATTCTAGGGCGCGATTTCGTATAGCGTGCGCACGTCGTTATACGAGCTTCACGGTAACCCCGAATCGCCGCGCGGGGGGGTTATAGGTTAGGTTATTTTATAGTGCCTTTAAGACTAGCTTCTAATTATCTACGATCCTGGTAAGATCTTCACCTAGGATAACGCCTTTACGCATATAGCGCGCGTAGTGTAAAAATAGTTACGCCTATAGGCTCGAGAAAACGGGGTCGAAATCGTGGACTAGCCGGTATACTCCCCTAACCTTAACCCTATAGAAAACCTATGGAAATTAATAAAGGAGCGTATTTATAAGAAGGAACCGAACCTCGGGGATATAAGAAAGAATATCGAATCGTGGGAATTACTTATATGCACCGCGGTTATAGTGTGGGAGGAGTTCGAATAAGAGCTTATCTAAAGGCTAATAGCTAGTATACCGCGTAGGATTAATGCTATGATTTAAAGCAGAGGGTGGTATATAAAATACTAATTATACTATTCGAGAGAGCTGCTTTTCCTATACCTAGATTATATACATACTACTAACTTTACTAAGGAATACGATGTGTAGAGGACTTCGAAGATAGTAGTAGTGATGTGGTGGTGGGGTATTTTTAGTCTTACTCGAAATTAGTGTGTACCGACTATAGTAGTATATAAGCCCTAAAGGCTAGCGCCCGTATTTTTAACGATGTTTTTAACGAAGAGGAATCTTAGGAAGCTCTAGAAGAGACTTAGAGTGACTAGACTACGTATCGCGAGGGCGAGATTTCCGCCTAGTTTAAGGGTTAATTAGATAAAGACTTACGTATACGTGAGGAGATAGAAAAGGCACTTAAGGAGGCTATTTGCGAGATACTAGAACTTAACGAAATAGCAGTCTAAGCCTCTAAGGCTATTATTAGCTAGGTAGTTTATTAACTATTATTACGAATTAAGAGCTACGTATAAAATATCACTGCTTATACCTGCGCAGGCGAGACCCCGGTATTAGTGGGCAGTTTATATATAAAGGAACTTACCTTTGCATATGCATATTTTGCCTGCTGGATATCCAAAGGTGCCTGCTATTTATACGCTCCCTATAAGTATACTCCGCTAGACCCTGTGGGTTTATCATAAGGATCGCTAGCCTCCCTGATTAGGTATACCCTTAGTATTATAGATATACACCGACTACCTAATAAGGGAAACCGCTTCGGTTACGCGGATAACTCCTATATTATCGCGGCCTATACGGACCTTAAGGAGGCGGTGAAGCTAGCGACCGAAATACTAGAGTAATAGCTCTAATAGTGTATAGAAAATAGTCTAGAACTGGATTTCGATAAGGCTAAGACCTAGTTTTTCTTACAATAAAAGATCCCCTAGTTTCTCTTAATAGCGGTTCCCTGATTCGACTACGAGGTTACGGTTACCTATACCGTGGATTATTAAGGCCGCTTTTACCCGGCCCTAATAAGATAGCTCGGTATATATATAGATAGAAAACTTAAGTTCGACGCCTACGTTAAGATATAGGCGAAGAAGGGCCTTAAAGTCGCTAACTATATCCGAGGACTTATTAATACCTTATATAGCCTAAACCCCGCCCTGCTTTAAAAAGCTATACTAGCACGCGTGCGTCTTAATAGTTATATACTATACTACGAAAATCTAGTAGGAAGGGCGTATAGTCTTAGCCTAGGGTTATACTAATATAATTAGTAAGAAGTGGTGCTATTCGCTATTATATTACCTCCCCCGACTACGGACTATAACCTATATATAGCTAACTATAATACGGGCAGTCTTACTAATATAGAGGATAGTCCTTTATACTAGCCTTATACCGAGAGTCTAGTATACCCTCTGTAAAGGAGTATACCGAATACCTCCGCTAGCGGTTTACTACGCGGATTATAGGGTTAGATAAGGACTACCCGGTAGTATAGACTATTACCCCGGTTATATACGGCGATACCCGGAAAACCAAAACACCCGTTCGGAGATTAAGGATCCTTCGGACTAAGGAACTAGTATATATAACCCCCGGTATCCCCTAATATAACCCCGGTTTATTAGAAGGCCGTGTTAGGAAACCGTTTAATAATAGACCTAAGGATAAAGCAGCTACCGCGTTTAAGATATAGGTAAACTCCTTACTACCCGACTATACCCTAGTGTATTCGGATAGGTTAAAAAAAGGCCTGAACGTAACCTAGGCCTTCTTTATCTAGCGCGATAGTAGAGAAAGGGTACGGTTAGTCCGACTAGGGCACTTGGTTATTCCGCCTAGGGCACTTCTGACAGCACCTGATGCCAGCCGCTGCCACTTCTGATTGTACCTAGATACTTCCACACAATCTACGTGCCTACCTTCAATTACAGGATATCGTAGGTTCGTTTAATTGACGATATCGTCGCTCCGTTCAATTGACGATATCGTCGTTCGTTTAATTAACGATATCGTCGTTCGTTTAATTAACGATATCGTCGCTCGTTCAATCGACGATATCGTAGGTTCGTTCAATTAACGATATCGTAGGTTCGTTTAATTAACGATATCGTAGGTTCGTTTAATTAACGATATCGTAGGTATATAGATTATGTGGAAGTATCTAGGTATAATCAGAAGTGGCAGCGGCTGGCGTTAAGCGCTGTCAGAAGTGCCCTAGTCGGACTAACCCTACCCTAGAGAAATCACCTCTAGCCGAGGCTACGTAACGCGGAGGTATTTAATAAGGAGGTAATAGGAGCTATTAAAGGCCTAGCGGCGGCGTTACGGCTACCCGGAACGGGCGATACTACGTGCTATATCGATAATTAAGCTATTTTATAGGGACTCGCTAAAACTACCCCGCTATCTTTAAGATATATATTTCTCTGGTAATAACGCCTCGCCTCTATTAATAAGGCCTAGCTATACTAGGCACCGGGTTATATAGGGATCCCGGGTAATAAGAGGGCGGATAAACTATATAATATAGAGGATATATAAGGGATACTACCGGAGAATAAGAGGCCAACCTAGGCTAATATTTAGGTATAGGCTATAGAACGCTATATAACTAAGCTTTAAAAATAGTATATAAAGAACCGACCCCGTGGGTATATAACGGCGTTATAGAAGAAGTTAGGCTTTAGTAAGAAGGAGCCCGAAGAACTCCGACTACTACGTAGGATACTAAGACGCCTCCTACAGGCATATACTAGGTATAGAGATTTCGATAAATACTATAAACGGTTTTATTACAAGGACTACGTCGCGGACTATAGCTATAGTTATAAGAAGACCCGGGAGCACTTCGCCTACTGCCGTAAGGTCAGGAACTCCCGTAGATAGCTATCCTAGCTATAGCACTACAATAAGAACAGGGATCGGACCCGTAGATTTAAACTCGAGGAGACCCTTATAGAGATCCTTACGAACAGGGCAGCTTTTACCGCCCTTAATAGTATAACGGGCTTCCTAGAGAGGATCTGCCTATTACCCTCGAGGAGGGGTACGCCTATAACCTAATAGGAGTCGGTCTAATAGGTTAGGCGCCGAGGATATAATAGTATAAAGGCCCCCGCGGGGGGGGGGGGGGGTTATTCATTACGCGCATACAGCCCTAAAGCTATGGCGTGGCGCCTATCCCCCTAGGGGCTAAAGGCTATCAGAAGCTAGGTATAGTAAAATAAAGCGTAATATAGTAATAAATAAAGGAAATCCTCCGTAATAATCTGCCTAATAGACCTAAAAGGTAGAAAACCAAAGCAAAATAACTAGACTGCAGGAATCGTAGTTTGCGCTCCATACTACTCCGCCAAGGCTATTTCAGTAGCTAAAAGATAGGCCTATAAGGCCTGTATTCCTCTTTTAGTACCGAATAATAGCGGCAGAGATAGCGGTAGGCCTGCTAGGGCCTCCCGCAGGGCTTTTCGTTCTTCTTTATAAAAAGGATAGGAAAGAATAAGGTGTGCTGTATCCTGTATAGGGGAGCCCGGACAGGAATAGCGGTTATCAGCGTAGTTTTAGGCCTTTTTTTTTGAGTGGGTTTTTAGGTATCCGAAGCCGGTTTTTAAATACGTAAAAGCCGATTTTACCTACCTAGGGCCTTATATTAGTAGTGGTTATTAGGAGAAACGGAGGTTATCGCGGACTAGGCGCCTATAAAGGCGGCCTAAACGCACCGATTTACCTCTTTTTTCCGCCTCTTCTTCGTCGTTCTAAAAAGCTTTCTAGTCTTAAATTAAGACCTCGTTAACCCGGCGTTTTAGGTGGCTAAGGGTAACTAAACTAATAGAACTAGTAGCTTTTTCGGGGTCTAATACCCCTTTAGCTACTTTATCTACTAGTTTATTCCCTTCTATCCTTATATACAAGGGGCACTACTATATAAAGACCGAAGTGCCTAGTTACTTAAGGCGTAAGATAAGGGCTATAGCTTTTATAGCCTACTATAATATACGCTAAAGCTTCTAAATAGCCGCCTATAAATCGCTAAAAATATAGCACTCTAAGGGCCTAGGCGTCTACTATAAGGTAGTGTAAAGGGCCTGAAGAATAGCGTATAATTCGGCGTCCGCGACTTCGGTAGCGGTCCCTAGGTTAAAGCCTATAGCTTTATAGGACCTTCTAGTATTAGTCCACCATATTATAACGGCTATAGTCTGCAAAGGCTCTATAGAGGGCCTAGTAGGGTGGCCTAGAGAGCCGTCGGTATAGAAAATAGCAGCCTATTCCCCTAGGCCTTATTAAATTTCAGCGAGGGCTTTAAGGTAGGCTATTTTCTAATCGGGGGTATCGGGACCGGTATCTATTTTAGGCCGGTCTTTAAGGGGGAAAAAGGGTCTTAGGTCCGCTATAGGTTCCGAGGCCTAGGGGGCTTCCTACTCCTACCTAGCCGAAGGACCCTTAACATCCTAAGACTAACCTACTAAAGCCACTGTTTCTAGGCCTAGCCTATAGAGCTATGTAGTAGGCTATAGGTTCTAAAGAAGGGCGAGGTTTTCTTAGTCTTCGTCCCCTGGCCCCCTTTAAACGCTAGCGAAGAGCTGGCGTTTAGTAGGGTGGTTCGGAAGGAATTTTAAGGTTCTAAAGGTATATATAGCCTATTAGACCTAGTTAACCGAACCGCTACTAGGGGAACTACTGCTTCGAGTTCTAAAGGCCTTAAGAGGGCCCCTCTAAAAGCCCCTAGGGCCCTAACTAAAGCGCTATACTGTAGGCGTTCTAGGCGGTCCACTCGGTGTTTTTTTTTAGTAATTTAGGGTCCTACTAGAGCTATAAGCCAAAATCAGCTAAGGAGGCTATACAGGCTATATATAGCTATTGTAGGGCCTTAAAGGAAAGGCCCCTCTACGAACTAGCTAGCCTGTGTAGCCTATTCAGGGCTCCTGAAGCTGAGTTTAGGCGTTTTTCGACGTGGAGTTTAAAGA